ACCAGTGGTAGGAGTCCAAAACCCCACTAGGCTGCAGGACAGGGGACTGTATGTCACACACCAGCAACAAATCAGTGCAAAAAGATTTCAAAATCACAATAAAGAATTTAGGAGTTGCTTTGCTGAGCTAATTGAAAATTCCTCCCAAACATCACAGGCAGGAGGTACCGAGAGCAAGGGGAGCTGCTGGCATTAGTGATGATTGACAATGGATATTTGTATCCCATCTTCTCCAGCAAGATTCACAAAAAGTGTGAATACTCTCACTTTTGGACAGGGTAGGAGTAAGGGAAGTTTCAACACTGCATTTCTGCTTTCACCTGGAGCTTTATATAGAATCATAGAACCACAGAATGCTTTGAGTTGCAGAAACCTTAAAGCTCATTTTATTCCAACTCTCCTCCCGTGGGAGGAAGGGACACCTTCACTAGACCAGGTTGCTCCAAGCACCATCCAACCTGCCCTGGAACACCTCCAGGGATGGGGAGTTCACAGCTTCTCTGGGCAAAACCTTCCCTCAATATCTTCACCTAACTGCTGAGGAGCCTCTAGCACCGGTCATGTCCCCACACGGGCTCAGTAACCCAGGCAGCACACCCTGATCCATGGGGAGGGAATCCCACAGCTCTTCCCATCACCTTCTCTTGGTGAGACACAAACTCAGATTAAATCAAGAAAAGCTCATCTGGGCTGGAAACATAGAAACACGTGGAGTTTACAAATCCTCACAGTGCTGGAGACACCCCAGTATTGCTGAGGTGTTGGAGATGAAGGTTAGAAACAAGCCATAGCACAGACTGTTATCACTCTTTCCTGCACACACAAGAGATGTGTACACAGGAATGAGCTCCACCTCACCCCACTGGGTACAGGGCCAAAAGACTGGATCCAGCCTTTATGCTGGGGCTCTCCCCAGGCTGGTACAGCAGTCACCTCAGCTGCCTGGTCACCACCACAAGCACACAGGTGTCTCCCAGGCAGCAGCTCTGACCACAGCTGCCTCCTTTCCTTTGTGGCACCTAATTATTCCCCAGGGTGAGGAGGTAGGGAAAAACACACCGCAGCAATCCGTCTGCCTGATGTGGAACATCTGCTGAGCTTCACCCCAGAGCAACACCTGCGAGTAATTCAGCCCTTGAGAATTAAGTCCTGAAGAAACACTTCAGGACTTAGATGCAAAATCTAAAGCTATGAAAATCCTTGTTGGAGCTCACTGGCTTGTTTGCGGTGGTCACAAGCCGAGGGAAGAGGGTGACAACCTGACACCAACAAGGGGGTTTATATCAACTAAATTCCTCAAGCACCTCTGTTCCTAAAGCAGCCACGTCCAGATCCCTCAGTTCAGAAGCTGTGATGTAATTTGGAGCAAGAACTGCTCCAAATAAACAGGAAAAAAAGGAGATTTTAAAATGTTTACTAGTCACTGTGCACAGGAGAAGCTGAAAAACCCCTAGTGCTTGCTGGCTCCAGCACAGGTCAATCCCTCTACAAGCTCTGGGAGTTGCCTAGGTGCTCCCACTGCCTCCCTCAGGAGACTCCCACTCCTCCCAGGCTCTGCCCCCACCCTTGCTGGATGAAGACGTTTGACAAGCACGTTCCAAGCACAGCAATAATTTTCATTCCTTTACAGTTAACTCCTCTGTACCACACCACCAGCCACTTCATCCACAGTGTTTGCCCCATCTTAGAGACTGGGATATTTACCAGCCTCTTGCCTCCGGCATCTTCCCTGAATCTCCAAATTCTTCCAGCAAATGCTTTCAAGCTGCATCAGCCCCAAACCCTGTGGAAATACTGCTGGCATTGCTCAGAGCAGGCTTCTTCCAAGCCATGCTCCCAAGCCAAACAGGGATCCATGGCCCTGGACACAATTTTCTCCCAATTACAAGGACTGAGCTTCACCAGATTCCCCAGAGCTCCAAGCTCCTGAAATAACTTTATTAAGGGGGGCCAAGACGTGACAGAAGGGATGTTGGGAGGGATCTGATGACTGTCACACAGGATTTGGCAGAGCAGCCACCCTGAGTCAGACCTTCCAGTTAACCCTTCCTTGCACTGTACACTCTCTTAGCACAGAAGTTTTAGGCTGGGGCTAAAAACGTACAGCAATGGTGAAGGAAGCACCTGCTCTTGCTAGCAAGCATTCATTCCACTTCTAGTTTGGGGTTGTCTGATTTTAACATGCAGTTTTTGAGTCTTTTGAGTCTCTTTCTAACCCAAACAGCTATGCAAAAGAACCTCTAAATCTCCCTTTAACAAGAGGGGTTTGACAAGAACATTTAGGGTGACTGAAGCAGCTGAAGATGAGCTCTCCCAAGTGCAGAGCACCAGCCTACTGCTGTTTCAGCATCCTCCAGCTGCCACATCAACACTGGACCCAGTGTGCAACCAACTACAGCTCTTTTTGTAAAAAAAAAAGGAATTAAGAACAATTCTTCTGCTCTCTGCCTCCTCTGTAATTCATAATCCTCTCAAAAACCTCAGCCTCCTCCGAGTGATGACTAGGAGAAACTGGATATCTAGGACTAAAGTCTAATCCTCTCCTCAGACGTGGTATCATGGCCTTTGGAAGAACCTTGTGCCACTCCCTGGTTTTCTTCAGAGGCTGATGCCCTAATGCCTCCACAAACCTGTGATCCCCACCACTGGGACAGTCATGGAACAACCCCCTCTAGAAAAATACTAAGGCTCTTGATATGGGTAACACCAAAGCTGGAACCACAGGTTCCTCACAGCCCAGGGAGTTGGGAGGATCTCTGGGCAAACATACACACCACTGTGAGCTGGCTGTAATCTACTTATGCTCTCTAAATCTCCAAAGGAGGCAAGAAGAATGCCTTGAGGATGGAGAATAAGCAGCTGCTGATTTCATTTCAAAGCTCCAGAGCAACTGATAGCCCTGATCACACCCTTCCCATTGCCTCAACTTCAGTCTTTGTCTCCCAGCACCTACCAGGAATAACCTGAAATAAGGGGAATATAAATCTCCACAGCACTCTAAGTCCAACCAAGGCAGGTTGGGACGAGGCATATTCTTTAGTAAAAGTCTCAAGAGATTCTGGAATCCCAATTCTGCTCTTTTTCTGCTCACAGGATGCAGGAACAAGGAGTGGGGAGCAGAAATGTCCCAACTGATCAAACATTTGCATAACTGGAAGTTAAACCTTTGCCTCCCCACAGGCAGAGCCAGAGCCACAGGACACTCAGCTTTGTTCTGGTGGAATGTTAAACTGCTTTCAGATCCCCATCATAAGTGGCTCATCAGCAACCTGCTCTGCCCAAAGAGCTGCCAAGACCTCAGGACAACACAAGCAGATAGGTTTTGTACCAACACATCACAGGGATAAGTACAGTCCTATATGGATCTCCTCATTCGCTGCTTCCTTGTGGCACCCTCTCTGCCAGCCCCCGATGGAATGAAAAGTGGGAATTTCACTTCTGAGGATCAGACAATTGGATCTTCCACATTTTTATTAACAAAGTCACCAAGGAGTATCTTAAAAATATAACCAGTAGCAACTCAAGAGTAACTGATCTGTGGTTTAATCCTCCCATCACCTCACCATACCACTCTTCAGCAGCAACACGGGCACAGGGAGGACGTACAAGCTCCCACAGCTCAGCCATACACTAGGGAATCTGCATAACTTGACCCTGCCAGGAATCTTCTGCAAAACAACCATCAGCATCTGAGAATTTTTAAGCCACACCACCAATTCTTGATGAAAGGCACAGAAAAATACCTGACTGTACCAGCTAAGTGACTTATGACCCCTGTGCTGCTGTTCCCACAGTGCAGACAGGATAGAACCAGGTTCTCCTGGTTCTCCACAAGTAGAAGAAAAACTCCCAAGCATGAAGCACAGGGTACGGCGAAAAGCCACTGCAAAGCCCGGGGCAGAAGTGCCAGAAAGTGGCACTCACACTGTGACAGATGCACCCACCCTGCTTTCAATTCCATCTTTCCAGATAGATTTTTTTTTCCCAGCTTTGCAGGTTTTCATCCACAGGAACATTTAAAAGCCAGCATGGGAACAACAGCGGAGCTTCCATCCCTGCCCTCCTGCTCCAGGCTCTGCACTGTCCCCTGCTCCATGGGCCCTCCGAAGCTCCCAGTGCCACCGTGCCCCAGGACCCACAATGTCCTCCTACAACAAGGATGTCCCCCAGCCCTAACACTCCCCACATCTACGTGTCCCAAAGGCCTACAGGCTCAGAGTGACTCAGAGCCGCCGCTGTCCCATTCCAGGGACCCTCCGAGCTCCTCAGCACACATCCCTACCCCGCTCCCCCGGACCCCGCGCCCCCCAGGCCCCACGTCCGCTGCGGCTCCCCTTCACAGAGCACCCCACAGCGCTGAAGCTCCCCACCCCGCAGCCCGCCCCCGTCTCCCCTGCCCGACCCGGCTCCCCCTAGTCCAGCCACGTCCCCCGCACCTCCTCCACCTCACGCTCAACGGGGCCGCCAACCTCCACCTCCAGCACAGCCGCCATCTTGCCCCGCCCCCCTAGCGGCCAACTCCTTCCGCCGCCGTCCGCCAATCATCGGGCAAGCTGCCGCACCTTGGGCCAATCGCTGGGCGCGGCTCTGCTCCGGCGGCCAATCAGGAGAGGGGAGGAGCGGAATAGCTGCCAGACGCGCCACTTCAGGCGCATAAAACCGGTGAGCTGTCACAGCTAGGGACCGGCTCCCATTTCTAGGCATGAGGCGGAACGTGTAGCCTCCGCCGACAGCACCGTCCACCTCACACCGCGGTACCGGCAATGTTAGTGCTGCCGAGCCACCGCCCTGCCCCCGCCCGCCCCTTTCCGCCACCGCCTGGCGCTGTTCCGGTTTAGGGCGCAGATGGCTCCTGAGCTCCGCCCGCGCGGGACCGTGGCGCGGCGTTGCCCGCGGGCCGTGTGTCCCGTCAGGCACCGCGGCGGGCGCGGGCCGGGGGCTGAACCGGAGCGCGGTCGGGAGTGAGGCGGGAGCGGCGGGCGCTGAGGAGCGGGAAGCGGCGGTCAGGGGATCATGTGATTTGGACGGCGGGAAATTCGGGATCGGTGCGATTGGGGCTGGGGTGAATGGGGAGCTGCGGGGTGAAGCACTGGGTTGGGAAATGGAGAGGCTGTGGGGTAGAGCCAATGGTTTAATAGGGCTGGGAAAGTGGGGAAGGACGGGGGGGCTGTAGCGATAGCAGACTAGCCCTGGGGTGTTGTTTATGGATCTGGGAACACAGGCTGTGGAGCTCAAGGGAGGTGTGGGAAAGGACGTGAGGGCCCTGGACAATAGGGCTGGAGCTCGTGGGCTGGATGTGGGTGGCAGAATGGGGATTTGTAGGGTGAGCTGGGGGTACGGGGGGGCTGAAGGGGGCTGGGGGATTGTGAGTCAGATGTGGGTGTTACTGCTGGGATAGTAAGCTGAGGGGTGGTGGAGCAGGTCTAGGGGGTACCGAGGCGGTGGGATGGGACTGGGGAGCTGCTGAATGGTTCCAGAGCCAGGAGATGCCCAAGCTCATCAGACTCTCCTCTCTCCCCACCAGGCACTGGAGGGATCCGAAGGGAAGTTATGTTCTGGCAGAGCATTGTCTCCAAAGGATCCTGAATGGCTCCAATTAAAATCAGCTATGTGGTGTCCTTCTCCTCCCAGGTGCCTTGGGGTTTCCTCTGGGGGGCTGGGTGTGGGAGTGAGCCCTCTGAGCTGCTAGATTCTCGGGAGAGGTAGGTCAGGGTGTGACAGGGTGCAGCACTAGCTTTCCTTGCTAGGCTGAAGGACAATTCACATGATTCTTGCTCTCTCAAAATGGGGTATTGTTCCTGTTACCAGAAAATTCGGTGCTTCTCCCATGTGCCCAGAACAAGCTGGAGCGGGAGGGGTTGGTGCATGATGCTGTGTCCCTGCTGTGTGTACAGGACCCCAAGTACCCGGCAGAGAATCTGCTGAGTGAGGATGGCATACGGCCCTGGCTTGGCTGCCCCAAGAAGCGCAGCAGGCAGCTGAGTGTGGAGCTACAACTAGAGAGAGCCAGTCCCATTGGCTACGTTGACGTTGGTACTTCCCTGTCCCCCACCCCCGTGCAGGAGCCAGGGCTGTGCCCCACAGTGGGGTCAGCAGCACTCAACCCCCTCGCCCCGTCCTTCTTTCTGTTTCCCAGGGAACTACGGCTGCGCCTTTCTGCAGATTGAGGTTGGACGTTCCTCATGGACCTGTGACCAGCCCTATCTCACCTTGGTGCCCACTGTCACACTGATGACACCAGCTGACTCGAAGCTGGACCAGAATCGCTGTGGGGTACGGATGTTTAAGGAAGGTAAAGGATCCAAAGGACAAAGGCATGGGGAAGAGCTGTGGGCCTGGTGGTGGGATGGAGCAGATTAGGGGGGATGGTGATGGAATGGGGTTAGCAGTAGGATAGGAGGGTAGAGGAGAACAGGTAGACCAGGGGTCAGGGTTGTTTATGGCCTCAGGAAAGCTGTACCAGCTCTGCTTCCCTGCCCCAGCCTCTCTTGTGCCCATAATCCCCCAGATGTCCTGGGTGGCACAGCAACAGGCAGAGGTAGGAGTGTGTTGGGACGGTGGTCAGTGCTGTGCCCTATCCACCCCAGCTGCTGTTCCCTACAGCAGATTTCTCGGAGCTGACAGTGGGGCAGAAGTGGGACCGCGTGCGGCTCACCTGCAGCCAGCCCTTCAGCCTGTGCAGCCGCTTCGGGCTCTCCTTCATTCGCCTGCGCACACCACAGGAGCAGGAGCCTGACCCCCCCCGGCCACCCCTGGACACAGTAAGTGTCTCTCACACCTCCATGTATCCCTCTCCATGGCGAGGCAGCAGGAAGGGGCTGCTCCTCCACAGGCACCACTTGTGCCCCATGGAAAGCCCGGGAGATGCTTGCTGGGCTGAGCTAGGGGCTGTGCCCAGACTGGTGGGCACATGATACCTGTCTTAATTGCCTGGGGCCTCCCCTTGTCCCACAGGAGGATGCTGAGCTCTCAGACAGACCCTTGTGCTCCAGCCCTGCCTTTCACCGGACTTCCTTTCCTGAACCATGTTTGTAAGTGACCTGGTGTGGTCCACCTCATCCTGTCCCTGCACAGTGTGGCCTTGACCTCCTTGAGGTGCTTCCTTGTACCCCAGAGCCCCAGCTCCCATCAGCTTTGTTCTCCTGCGAGGCTGACACTCCCTATTCTCAGGAGATCCAAGGAGGAGGAGCAGCTGAAGAACTGCCTGTGGAAGCTGGAAGGGGCTGCCTGGAGCCCGGCCCACCTCAGCCGCTCTGCCCAGATGGTGTTGCTGGCAGCACGGAACCAGGTGCTGAGGCCAAGAGCTGGCACGAGCACTCTGGGGGCTCACCCGGAGCTGTCAGCCAAGGATGCAGGAGGTCCCGCAGTGCCAGGTGGGTGAATCTGCACAGCCATCTCCTGGGCTGGTCCCAGCCAACTGTGGGTTGCAGGGCAAGGGGGAATTCTGCCCCTCTGCTCTGCTCAGGTGAGACCCCACCTGCAGAGCTGCCTTCAGCTCTGGGATCCTCAACGTCAGAAGGGTGTAGAGCAACTGGAATGAGTTCAGAGGAGGTCATGGAGATGTACTTGAGTGCTGGAGCCCCTCTGCTGTGATGACAGGCTGAGGCACCCTGGGCTGTTCAGCCTAAAGACAAGAAGGTTCTGAGAACTGAGAAGCCTCTTTCAGTGCCTAAAAGGGCTCCAAAAGAACTGGAGAGGGACAGTGGCCTGGGAGGTCAAGACAAGGGCAATGGCTTCAAATTGACAGAAGACAGGTTCAATGGGATATTATGAAGAAATTCTTCCCTGTGAGGGTAGTAAAATAGGTTGCTCAGGTTGCCCAGAGCAGCTATGGCTGTCCCATCCTTGGAAGTGTTCTGAGGTTTGATGGGATTTGGAGCTTCCTGGTCTAGTGGAAAATGTCCCTGCCCATGCCATGGTGGGGGGCGGAGCTTGGTACTAGATGAGCTTTAAAATCTCTTCCAACCCAAACCGTTCTCTGTGATTCCCCACTCTCCGCTCTTCCCTAGACTCTGCACTGGATGTCCCTGCAGCTCTTCCGAGCACCTTCAGGCAGCGGGACAGGCACTGTGCTCCCAGCTCTGTTGGCAGGTAATCCCATGGGTCACTGTCTTCTTCCTGCCCTCACCCTTGTCATTTACTGCTCTCAGTCTTTCCCAGACAGTTCTGGGCCCAGCCCTTCACTCTTTTGGGCTGGCACAATGTGGCATAGAGTGCCTTCAGCATGTGACCCTCTGCAGGGCTCCAGCTGCCACCTCAAGGACACGCAAGGTGAAAGGAAGAGCCCGAGCCTGTGGCCCCCGAGAGAAACACGTCAGGAGGAATGACAGGGGCCAGGCCAGCAGTGATGGAGAGATAGGTGTCTGCCCTATCTGCTCAGGTGGGTGCTTGGCAGGGGTGTCCTCTGGTGGCTAGGGGACACTGAGCAGCAGATGGGGATAGTGGTGGCAGTACTATAGCTGGGACCTATTGCTCCTGCTGGTGCCTTGGCACTAGAGGAACATCACAATGTATTCCCAGGCTGCCATGAGAACAATCAGGGAGGGTATCAATCCAAACCCTGTATCATCCCAACACCAGTGAACCTCTGATAACCACATCCCCTTCCCTTTCCACAGGCTGCTTCCCACTGAATCTCCTCCCCACACATGCCTCTCAGTGTGGAGAAGACCCCACCACAGCCTGGACTTTGTCTCCTGATGCCTGGGTGTCCTGCCCAATTTGTCAGCTGCCCTTTGGTGTGGCAGAGGTGGAGCAGCACGCCAGCAACTGTGGGGAGACACTAGAGGCCCTGTCCTCACGTCAGGGCCTGCAGTAGGACAGCAGAGCTGGGGACAAACCCTGTGTCACCACCCCTGGGGGCTGAACCTGCAGTACACCAAGAGACAGAGACACTGCAGCCCCAGACATTTGTGGCAAGGCTGGTGTGAGGATGGAGGAGGTGCTTCCAGCCCCGTGGCCAGGTTTGGTGGGGTTTGAAGCACTGTAATGGCAGGAGTCGTTACTGGAGAAGAATAATTTAAAGGAGAAAAAGAAGAAAGAGTAATCTGTGCTGTGACTGCTTGGTGCTACAGAAGGTTCCCTGGGTGAGCATCGTGCCTTGGGACACTCTGTGTGTAGTTCATGGGGCCAGTGATAGGACAAGGAGGAGGTCCTGCTTTTCATCCCCGCAGGCCTTGATGAATGCATGTGGACTGTAGGAGGAGGAAGCCAGGACCCCCAGAGCAAGTGAAAAATACACTTTATTTACAAGTAGAAACATTTAAAAATGCTGCCTCAGCTTCCCTGGGAGGAGCAGGAGGACAGGGCAGGTGGGGGAGTCCCACACACGGGGAGCGGGGGTGGTAGCCCTAGGGATTCTAAGTTTCACCTCTGTCCCTGTTACTGGGCCTGCAGGATCTCCCTGGGGAGAGCTTAGTCCCTCCAGCCACAGCCTGGTGCCAGCCCCTGCACCCTTTCTAGCCCTCAACCCCTGCACATCCCCTTGCCCTGGGTCCCGGAAGGGTTTAGGCTGACAGTGGGTGCAGGAAGGGCAAGGGGGCCTTGCCATGCCCAGGGCACCCCACAGTTGTCAGTGGGATGTGCAAGGCAGTCATGTGGGTTGCCCCACCTGTTCCCCCTCTGTGCTCCTGGGCCCTGGTGGGACAGGGAGAGGTGAGGGGGTGCAGGTGGGGGCCAGGGCAGAGCCAGCAACGCAGGGACTGGGGAAACCTCAGGATGGCTTTTCCTTGCGTGACTGGCGACTGGCCTGGAAAGGACAGAGTGAGATGAGATGTTAGGGACCATGGACATGACCAGGGCCCTTGCTGGGACCTGCTGTTGCCATGGCACCCCAGGGACAGCAGAGACTGTCCCCCTTTTCCCATGGCCTGTATGAACCCAAGGAAGAGGTTGGGGCCACAGGGGTGAGCATAAGCTCAGAAGTGCCAGGGGGTCAGGCTACCTACCTTGCCCTTGGGGGACTTGGCGGTGGCGATGCGGGGTGAGCGGCGGGTGCCGCTGCTGGTGGAGGGTGTGGGAGTGCTCCTCTGGGCGACTGCTCGGCGCAGCAGGCGCCTCCCCAGCTCCCTGGGGGTATTGAGGATGTTGAACGCCATGGACTGGCGCCTCTGAGCCTGCAGAGGAGGGGCAGGAGCATTAGCTCAGGGTGGGCAGGGCAGAGGAGTCCCTCCTGATCCCTCTTTTTCTCTCTGAAGCTTACCTGTGTGGCTGAGGCTGGCCGCTCACTCTCTTGACTGACCTGGGAGCCACTCTGCTCACTGCGGTCCTGGGTGGTCTGGGGCCGTGGGAAGCAGCTGGTCGGCTTCTTGGACTGGAAAACGGGACTAGTTAGTACTGTCATCTGAGGGTCACCCTGCTGTTGTGCTGGCAGCAATGAGGGAACTGAGGGGCTGCAGGGAGGGGATGGTGGGAGCGAGGGTAGCAGTGCCCAGGGAAGGCAAAGGCCTCAGCCCTTTGCCTCTGGAATGACCTCCCTGCCAGCACTGGGAGCATCACAAGTAGTAGACACACCACTGGATGCTGGGAACCAGTGCCCACTGGGATCCAGGATCAATGGGAACATGTGGCCAACAGGGGTGTTAGCCACGGGGCCACAGCAGCTCCCTCAAAACCTGGAACGCCTGTTTGTTCCCAGTAGGGTGCTGTGATGGAGGACTGGGCTGAGCTCACCGGGGGAGTGTCCACGCCCTGGTGGGTCTCCTCCGAGAGGCGCTTCCTCCGCTGCCGGGTAGTGATGCTGCTGGCCTGGCTGCTGCACTGGCTGCTGGTGGCAATGATCTGGGAGGGCTGCATGCTGGCACGTCGCAGCGTCTCTTCTGGGTCCCCCATCTTCACGTCCTCATCCGTGATGGTTCCCAAGGAGGTGGAGGGCTGGGGAGGGGATGTGGGGATGTTGCTGAGGGGCACTGTCCGTTCCCAGACTGCCTCCCAAACACCAGTTCTGGAGAAGGGGCTGCCTGACCTCCCCCTCCTGTCCCTTACCCTCTCTACAGCGTAGCTGGTCTTCAGGTGGGGAGGGCGGGCCTGGTTCCGCCGCTGCAGCTCTGCAATGCGGTTCCAGTCTTCCAGCTGCTCTGGCTCATCCTGGCACATGCCCAGGTTCAGGGTGCTCCGGCCTAAATCCAAAGCAAGGAATGATGAGGGACGTCCCAGGTAACACCTGATTCCCCCAAGCCAGGGCAGAACCCCACAGCCAGCAGTCTAAGTGCCTACCCTGCCCACACACACCGAGGCTGGAGCCACTGGTCCGCTGCAAGCGCAGGGAGCTACGGGTGACTGGCCGGTACCCAGGGAGGCCCAACAATCCTGAATTGCCAGGGCTCTTCTCTGGGGAGGAGGTTTCCAGCTTTGCAAGAGTTTCCTGGGAGGGGAAGCTGGTGAGGGAACGGGTGGAGGCACCTGAGCGCAGACGGCCTTTAGCAGGGGAAGAAGTTTTTGTGGACTGAGCTAATGGGATGTTCTTGACACAGACCAGTTCCTCAGACTCTGCCTGTTTCTAGGAGAGAAAAATCCACACATGAGGGGATCACAGATGGGTTTAGGCTGAACAGACCTTAGAAATAATCTCCTTCTACCTCCCCTTTCCTTGGCTGTGTCACCTTCCACTAGACCAGGTTGCTCCAAGCCTCATCCAACCTGGCCTTGAACACTTCCAGGCATGGGGCAATCACAGCTTCTCTGGGCAACCTGTGCCAGGGCTTTGCCACCCTCACAGGGAAGAATTTCTCCCATCCCAATATCCCATCTAACCCTGCCCTCTGTCACTTTGAAGTCATTCCCCCGTGTCCTGTCACTCCAGGCTCTTGTCCAAAGTCCCTCTCCAGGTCTTTTGGAGCCTCTTTAGGCACTGGCAGGGGCTCTAAGGTCTCCCTGGAGCTTTCTCTTCTCCAGCCTGAACACCCCCCACTCTCTCAGCCTGTCTCCAGAGCAGAGGGGCTACAGCCCTTGGAGAGCTTCTGTGACCTCCTCTGTCGTCCAGTAGCTTCATGTCGTTCTGATGCTGGGGTCCCAGAGCTGGAAGCAGCTCTGCAGGTGGGGTCTCACCAGAGTGGAGCAGAGGGGCAGAATCCCCACCTTGCCCCGCTTCCCACTGCGCTGGGGATCACCTAAGGACATGCCTGGACTTTAGGCTGCCAGTGCACATTGACAGGTCATGTTCAGCTTTTCAGTTCCCAGCACCCTGGGTCCCTCTGCAGTGCTGCTCCTGATCCCTGCACTCCCCAGGAGGGCCCCCCTGCTCACATCTGTCATGGTGATGTTGATGGTAGTGCGGCGCCGGGCTGAGCGGGTCTTGCATCCGGAGTCGAGCGAGAAGTCACCCGGGAAGTTGGCACTGCTCTCCAGTTTCGACGGCGTCTCGCGGAGTATGGGGGTAAAGTAGAGACTCTCCAGGGAAGACTTCCTCTGGGGCAGCCGCTGAGACAGCAGTGACTCTTCGCTGTCTGATGGCACCACTGAGACGTCCAACTGAGAGCTGGTAACCTTCCTGCAGAGACAGGAGATGAGGATAGCACCAGCAGGCTTACCAGGTCATCAGGAACAGTGTATTTTTGGGGTGCTGGAAGCAGATTGATCTGGTACCTGGTGGAGTTGAGCAGCTGTGCCTCATCAAGGCTATCAGTGCTCTGGTCAGCCACACTCTGGCACGAAGTCTCTTGTCCCTTTGCTGTGGCAGTCATCACCTGGAACTTGCTGAGTTCCTGCACCTGTCGTTTGGCAACCTCCACCTGAATGGGAAGCAGGGAGGAATGGATGGATCTATCCTCTAAATGAGGTGGTGGTAGAGATGAGTATAAAAAGGGTGAAACTCCACTATGCCATGCCCACCTGAGCTTCCAGGCTGTGGATCTGGCTGGTAAGATTCTTGCAGCTCCTCTCAGACTCCTTGGCCTGTAGGATGCTTTGCTGTAGCTCCTTGGCCAGCCTCTCTGATTTGCTCTGAAGCTCTGTGTTCTCTTTCTGCACGTGCTCCATGGCCTTTAGCTTCTCTGATAGCTCCTGGTTCTGCTGCTTCTTGGCATCATAATGGCTTTTTGCCTTCTCCATCTAGGATGTAAAGCAGAGGAATCCTGTCCAAGTATCCCAGCAGAGTCAGGGACAACAGGGCCATGCTAGCCCCTAGCATACCTGCCCTTTGTAGTGCTCAGCTGCCTGCTCCTTCTGGGTGAGCTGTGCCTGCAGCTCTGCCACCTTCTCCTGATGGCTGGTGACTGCTGCCTGCAGCTCCCCTTCAAGTGCCTATAGGCAGGGAAGAGGCTGGCTTAGAGGCAACCCAGAAGCCCCCTGGCAGCACCAAGAACTCCAGGGCTCAGCCCCCAGGTTTCTTGTCCCTCTTTACCTTAATTTTCTGCTGCTGGGTAGAGGTGGCCTTCTCATGCTGAGTCAGCTTTTTGTTCAGCTCCTCCACCTGGAAGAAAAAGGCATGGTGATACCAGTTCCAGGCACAAAACTATCATCTTCCTGTGGAGGAGCACATCCTCTCCTCTCTAGCCAGCTCTAAGGCACGATGAAGAAATTTCCTGCCACAGGGCAACCGTTCAGCTCCCCCCACGGCCAAGGACTGTCACCCATGGCAAGGTGACAGTCACCCCATGTTAAGTCCTTACAGCATCCAAGTTCCTTACCCAAGTAAGGAGCAGCCACATGCTGGAAGCAAAGCCTATGTCAAGTTCCCAGTGCCCCAGTGCTTGCAACCTGGAGTCCCACAAGTCATCCAGCACTCTTGACACAGGTAGAACTTGCTGTTCCAAGTTCTGGTCTGACCATGCTCTCCCTGCTCCAGCAGATGCTTGAGGAGCCCCTAGCCCCCTAGACATAGCCAAAAGGCCTCTGCAGAGTCTTGGGCAGCTCTGGCTGGGACTGGACAGGGAAATGGGGCTTTTCCAGCATTGTTTCCCAAATGCTAACTCCTACCACATCTGAAATCAATTCTGCTCTAGCCACATCTGGACCATGCTGAGCACAGGTGTTCCTACCAGTTGTGCCAAGAGCTGAGCCTTGGTTAAAGGTGAGGGGGAAGCCATCACAGCATTGACAGTCCTACACTGAGGAGCCCTGGATGCTCCTTGCAGCCACTTGCTGCGTGTGCTGCCACAGGGCATGTGAGAAGCCATGCCAAGTTGCAGGCACCAAAGGATAGGACCCCTATTGCTACCCCCCTGGAGCTGAAGGTGCTCAGAGACCAGGAGCCAAGTGCCCCATGCCTGGGTCCATACTGTGAACAGTTCACAAGAGGAAAGGGTGGCTCCAGCGGGAAGTGACATGAGGAGGGCTGTGCACTGTCACTAAGCAGCCAGCACTTCCTGTGTGTTACCTGCTTAGTTTGGTCCTTCTGCATTATCTCCAGCTGCTCTACCTGCAAAAGCACAAAAGGTAGAGGTGAATCTCTAAGATGGACTCTTGGACTCTAAGACTGATCCAACCATTGCCCCAGCACTGCCAAGACAACCATTAATTCATGTCCCCAAGTGCCATATCTACATGTCTGTTAAATTCCTCCAAGGATAGGGACTCCACCACTGCCCTGGGCAGACTGTGGCTTGACTGGACAACCCTTTCAGGGAAGGGATTTTTTCCTAATATCCAACCTAAGCCTCCCCAGGCACAACTTGAAACCATTTCCTATTGTCTCACTTCTTAACTGGGAGAACAAGTTACCTGGGAAACCCCCATCTGGCTGCACCCTCTTTTCAGGGAGCTGTTTCACCCTTTCAGGGGACAGATGGTCCTCCCTGAGCCTGCTTTTCTCCAGGCTTAGCCTCCCATCTAGCAACTTAGCTGTTGCTCATCAAACTCGTGCTGCAGCTGATTCCCCAGCTTTGCTGCCCTTCTCTGGAAACACTCCAGCACCTCACTGTGACAGTCCCTTTCATACCTAGGAATGTGTCCCACACCCCGAGTCCTTGTGCTGAGCAGGACATGAATTCAGGGGTGTGCAGAAGGCTGAACACCCTCCTTTTCCAGGAGGGCTCCCCCACTCACAGCCCTGCTGGGAGTGGCACCCCTACCTGAGTTGTCAGTCTTTGCTTCTCTTCCAGGAGTTTCTTCTTCTCTTCCAGGGCTGCCGCTTTGCTGCTCTCATACTCCTTCTTCATGTCCTCCAGCTTCTGTACTGCCTCCTTAGCCTCCTGCCTGCTGCTGGTCACCAGCTTCTCAGATGCTGCCTGCAGCTGCTCCAGCTCCTGCATGTGCCGCTCCCTGACCTGGCCCAGTTGCGCCTCAAGCTGCTGCTGCCCTTGGCTGCGGCTCTTGCTGAGCCCCTGGTTCTCCTCGGCCAGCCGAGCATTGGCCTGTTGCAGCCCTGCCAGCTGCGCCCCTGCCTCTGTTGCCTCAGCCTGCAGCCGCTGAATGGCCCGGTCCTGTTCTGCCAGCCGCTCCCGCAGTGACGGAACCTCAGCCACCTCCAGCTTGGCCTGCGCTAGCTCAGCTTGCAGCGTGGACATGGCCTTTGCTCTCTGCTCCAGGTCCTGGTGGTGCTGGCTTTCCAGGGAAGCACGCTCAGCCTGAGCGCTGTCGAGCTTCTGCTGCAGGGCAGCCAGGAGCTGCTCCTTCTGTAGGCACTTGTCCTGGCAGACCTTGGCCTCCTGCCGCAGCTCATCCTCCCGCTCGCTCTGGCAATGGCGGTCCCTCTTCAGGGCCTCGATGGTCATCCGCTGCTTCTCCATCTCTTCCTGGCACCGCTGCACCTCCACCTTCATCAATGAGCACCTCTCGGCTGCACGGGAGGCCGCGGTGGCCATCTCTGTCTGCAGCACCCGCAGCCTCTCTTCCAGCTTCTTGCTCTTCTCTGACTCAGCCAGGATCAGGCGTTTCAGCTCCTTGCTCTCCCCTTCCTTCTCCGTCACCTGGCGATGGAGGATGGAGACCTCATGCTCCAGGCTGCTGATCAGGCTGTTTTTCCTCTCCATCTCCTGGAGACACTGGGACACTTGCTCCTTCCAGCTCTCCTTCTCCTGCACGGCAGAGCGGAGGGACACCAGCTCCTTCTCTGCAATCCGCAGCTGATCCACAGTGCCTTCCAGCTCCTTGGATTTGAGCTTCTCCTGGGAGAGCTGCTGGGAGACTCCCTCCAGTGCCTCAGCAGCTCTCTGGGCATCCGCCTCCAGCTTGGCCACACGCTGGGCTGCTGTTTGCTCTGCCACAGCCATCTTCTCCTGCAGGGAGGAAATCTCAGCCCTTAGCTTCTGCTCCTCGTTCTCCTTCTCCTTTGCCCATGCCTGAGCACTGGACAGGTCAGCCTGGAGGCCAGCCAGCTGCTCTGCCTGGGTCTCCAGCACAGCCACCTTCTCCTGCTCAGCCTGCAGCTGCTGGCAGGCCCGGCTATGCTCCCGGCTCAGCGCCTGCATTTCCTCCTTCAGCCGCCTGAACTCTTCGTCCTCCCCTCGGGTAGCAGGAGTGGCTCCCGTGGGCTGCTCCCGGCTCTCCTCCAGCACCTGGCGTGTGGCCAGCTCCTCACCCCGCTCCAGCAGAGCTGCCTCCCGGTCCTGAACCAGCTGCTGTCTCTCTGCCTCCAGCTCAGCAATCCTGGCCAGGTTGCCCTCCAGGCACTCAGCTGCCCGTCTCTTCTCATCCTCCAATATACCCTCAGTGTTCCGCAGGGATTCCTCCAGGAAGAGCAGCTGTTCCTGCAGGCGGCTGTTCTCCCGGGCCAGCTTCTCCTTCTCAGCCAGCCTCTGCTGGCTCTCCTTTAGCCTGCCCTCCAGCTCCTGCAGCTGGGCTTTCAGTGCCTCTGCTGCCACTCCCTGCTGCCGTTGGGCACCCAGCTCCAGGATCTGGGCTTCCAGTTCGCCGACCTTGTGGCTCAGTGCAGCCTTTTCCTCATCTACAGCCTGCAGCTGGCTGCTCAGGGATGCGTTGGTCTGCTGGAGCTGCTGCAGGGCAGAGTCTCTTTCCCGCAGGGTCTGCTCATGCTGGGCACTGAGGGCAGCCAGCCTCTCAGCCTGGTCCTCAGCAGCCCGTGCCTGCAGGTCTCGCTTCAGCCTCTCTCGGGCCCGGTGGCTCTCAGACAGGGAGTTCTGGAGACTGGTGACAAGGCTGTCCAGCTGCTGCTTCTCCTCCTCCAGCTGCACTCGTTTGGCAGTGAGGCTGGACACCTCCTGCTTCAGCTCCTCTAGCTGGTAAAGAGAAGAGCAGAGACTGAATTGGGTCTGACTGAGACAGAGAGATAGTCCTGCTCAGCAGCAGCCAAAACTGGTGTGTTATCAACACCTTTCCAGCTACCCATGCAAAGCACAGCACTGTGAAAGCTTCTAGGAGAAAATGAACTCTTGACATTCCCCCCCCAGCAAGTCAGGAAGATGCTGGCAAGGGACACAATGAGGCCAACTGACCCAAATAAACCAAAGGGATATTCCACACCATATGGTGTCAGCTGAGATATAAAAGCTAAGGGACGTAGGAAGAACAGGGGGCATTCATTATTTTAATTTTTGCCTTCTGGAGCAACCACTCCATGTGCTGAAGCGCTGCTTCCCAGGAAGTGTCTAAACATCACTGGCTGATGGGAAGTAGAGATTAAATTTTCTCTTTGCTTATACATACATAAACTTTCACTTTTCCTTTTTTGCTTTAGTAAATTGCCTTATCTCAACCTACTAGTTCTTTTCCATCTTATTTTTCTCTCCCTTGTCCTGCTGGGAAGGGGAGTGATAGCAGGGCTTGGTGGGCACCTGGTGCCCAGCCAAGATCAGACTACTACAGGGACAAAATATGCACCCCCTAGGTGTTATTCAAGCTGTAGCCAACATGCTCACAAGAGCTCCACATGCTGCATCCCACTGGGAGCTGCCCAGTGCCTGCCTTCCCTCCCATCACACTCTCAGCACACCTTGCTTTCCTCTCAGCCTTGTACACTCTGCTCCCTTGGACCAAACACCTTTTTCTCACCATGCAGGAGACGTTCTCTTCACAACCAATTCATGTTGGGAGGCTGGGGGAGCCACCAGTTCCCTGGGAGCAGTATTTCCAAATTCAGCCCAAAAGGGGCTCTCCCAGAGAAAGATGGGCTCAGCCCCACATTCCCTATCCAGCAGCAGAGAGCAGCAGGCTCTGCCATGCATCTCCTGGCACCTGCTGCTCTCTCCAAATGGAGTAGTTTACCATTTGAGCCCTTGCTCCAGGAGCCCCAGTATACCTTCAAAATGTCACCCATGACTTCTCCCTTCTCCTGGGTGCTGCACTCCTCCAGCTTGGCCAGCTGGTCCTCCAGCATAGAAATCTTTCCCTGTAGAATCTCGATTTTCTCTTCTGAGCATTTCTGGGGACAGAGATGGGACTGAGCACGGTGCAAGACAGAAAAGCCAACCAACCAAGGAGAGGCACAGCCACCCAGTCAGTATTGACACCATGCTTTTGCAGCAGCTTTGTCTCTCCCCACTGCAAGGACAACAGCCCGCCCCACCATGGGAAAACCTTCCTGGGAACAGGGAGAGGCTTCCCCCAGGAGCTGACAATTACACAGCTTCTCCCCATGTGCTGGCACAAATGGGCAGGAGGCTCCTAGCTGCTGCACCCTGCTTGCAGTTGGCATGTCCCCCAGCTGGGGGGGCTATGGGGAAGCTGCAGGGGGGCACGCACCACTCCCCAGGCCCCCTGACCTTATCCTGCAGGGCAGCATGCAGCTCCTTCTCCAGCTGTCGCTGCTTTTCCTGCGACTGTGCCATGGCACTGTTGTGCTCCTCCGAGAGCTCGTTCAGGGCTCGCTGAAGCTGGACCATATTGCTGGCGATCTCCCGTAGCTGCCAAGTGAAAATCCACCCAATGCAGAAGAGGGTCAGAGTGTGCCTTTGCTGTCCAGGGCCCTGCCTACTCCCCGTTCCCAAGAGCTGCAGCACACATGGCCATCCTGGGTTCTGGGTGCTCACCACGTGCAGGCAGCTCCACCCAGTCCCCATTCCCCCACCACAGTTCCTATTTGGATCAGGATCCAGAGCCCAAGGCAGGCTTGGTCACTGGCTCAAAGATCACATTAGCAGAACCATAAACATCCCAGCATCTGGCACTGCCATCAAATACTCTCCCCTGGGTTCCATCACAACCAACTGGCCTGTAGGGACACAGAGAGGACACTGCATCCCATACCTTGAAGGAAAGATCCCCGTTCTCCTCGGAGAGCTGGTTGATTTTTCGGTCCATCTGGGCTTTTTCAGTCTTCAGGTCCTGGCACTGCCTGAAGGCCTCATGCAGGCGCCCCACTAGGCTGTGGGAAAGGAGGTGGTTAAGGAGGGGGTGCATGCTGGTGGCAGGCAAGGATATCACCAGGGATCAGTGCTGCTGGATATTGCCAAGGAAACTCAAGGTTACAAGGGATCTCCATGCCTTGCTGTGACTCTACCATCAACACAGCTTTAAAGCTGTGTCCCAACAGGTGGCAAAGCAGAGCAGAGATAAGCAATGTTTGTGCTTTGCAGAAGCCCAGCCGCTCCAAACTGAGGGCAGAGGCAGCTGTGGGACTCCAGCCACACCCCTGCAAAGGGGAATAAGTGAGGAAAGGACAAAAAGACACGGCACTTCCAGTGGAGGCTGGGCAGCCTTCCTGAGTAAACAATGGCACAGGGACAGAGCAAAGATCAGAACGCAATGTGACAGGTGATTTCAAGTGTGTGACGGAGCCCAGTACATAGGATCAAAGTAAAGGCCTGGGAAAGGGGCTGGAGTTAGTTTTAGGATCACCCTGAAAGCTTCCCCTTTTCCAGGGCAGGTGGGACCCATATGGGCAGCACACTCTTTTCACGTAACAGAAAAGCTGCTCCCATGCAGAGCTTGAGTTAAGAGTGGGCTGTTAGAACAGGCTGCATGGTTTGGGACTGGATCCATGCCCACTGCAATAAAAATGGGCTGCAGGCCATACCTGCCCTGAGGGCATGGGCAGCATGATGGCGGCACAGCCGTGTCATGGACTGATCGCATAGCATGAGCAGCAAGGCAGGAGGGGATTCTGCCTTCAGCTCTAGGGTTCTCATATCTCAAAGATGTGGAGCTGCTCCAAGGGCTGCTGGAGCCACTCTGCTCTGGAGACAGGCTGGGAGAGACCTGGGGGTGTTCAGCCTGGAGTAGAGAAGGCTCCAGCACCTAAAGGGGGCTCCAAGACAGCTGGAGAGACACTTTGGACAAGAGTCTGGAGTGAAAAGACAAGAGGGAACGGCCTCCAACTGACAGAAGACAGGGTTAGATGGGACATTGTCCAGAAATTCTTCTTTGAGAGGGTGGTGAGGCCCTGGCACAGGTTGTCTCGAGAAGCTGGGGCTGCCCCATCCCTGGAAGCACTCAAGGCCAGGTTGGAGGGGGCGTGGAGCAACCTGGTCTGCTGGAAGGTGTCCCTGCCCATGGCAAGGCGTTCCAGCTGAATGAACTTTAAGGTCCTTTCCAACCCAGACCCTCTCTTGATTCTGTGCCTGCTGTCTTCTCCCAAGGGCACAGCAGCAGAGGAACAAGAAGGTGGTTTGCTTTCTCCCCTGTTTCATGAACTGCTAGGGAAGAGACAGACAACATAGACTCTGGGGATGTGGGAGTGACAAGGTCCCACCTAGGAGGAAGGAGTGGACGTTCCTGGAGGATTACCTCTCGTTCTTCTCCCTCAACTCCTCAATTTCTTTGGGCTCCAGACGGTCTTCAGCTTGCTTCTCATTGAGCTTTACCAAGCGATCAATCCGCTGCTGCATCGTGGTGATCTGAGCATCTGGGGAAAGGGCAAGAAAGGGCCCATTACCAACTTTTCATATCACCTGAAGCCCCCACAAGAGCATTTCTGCACAGAAACCCTCTGCAAGAGGAGATCAAAGAGCCCGACTACCAGTGCTGCTGCTCAACATAGGTGTTGCTTCAGTCATGGCTTTTGTTGCTCAGGATATATAAGGGAATACAAGACAGAAGAAGGAACCTGGAGTCTCACTTGTGGCTTGGCACGATGGACTATACATGAGCAGAGTTGTGGTGGGGTCACAACAGAAAAGTCAGAGAAACAAGGGGAGATCTCTGCCCCACAGACCCCCCTCCTCGCACCTCAGGATGTCCTGCTAGTGACTGACCCTTCTCCATGACGAGCTTGTTATTCTCCGCCACCTCCACCTCCAGCTCTTCTCGGTTCTCTCTCTCAAAAGCCAGCTGCTCCTTCAGCCGCCGCAGCTGAAACTGGGGGGTCTGCATGATGTCCCCCATGGGTGAAGATGGAGTGCTGGGCAGGCTGCAGGGAGACACACACACACACACACAGCTGGATTATCCTGAGCCAGTCCAGGCCCCAGGCAGCCAGACCCACTCTGCCACCCCCATCTCTGGGATAGGTTCTCCTGCCTGGTTCCCCAAGGAACTGCTGCCTTAAAAATCTAGGAACAAAACAACACACATATGAGACAATTTCAATAAAGGAGGTAATATAAAAGCTGCTCTTTATTTGAAGGCCTCCAGGGGCAAATATGGAAAGATGTCCTTGGAGGCCTCCAATTAAAGACCAGCTTTTATATTACCTCCTATATTGAAATTGTATGTATGTTGTTTTGTTCCTAGAGGTTTAAGGCAGCAGTTCCTCCCCCTTCTGATTCAACCCTCTTCCAGAGCCCTCCTTTTGCTAGTTGTTTATGGGAAAGTGTCTTGGGAGGGTGGCTCATCCTTGGTTCCCAAAAGAACCAAGATTAGGATAGGGTTTTTGGAATGTGTTTTGTCTTTCTGTCAGGGTAGGAAAAATACTGGAGACAGATAGGAACTGTGTAACTAAATAACAGTCTACAGAGCTATGAATATGTATGAAGAAAATACAAAAGCAAAAATCATTTTGGCATCAGGTTCACAGAAATAGCTTTGATGCCACATCACTTGAGTAGAAAAGCCATGCTCCTCCTCCTGCCTGTACTATCACCAACCTCTAAATGCTGGGCAAAAACCACCTCCAGCATGCCCAGGTGGCCATCCCCGCTTGTGTCACCCACAGTGTGGTCCCACGGGGTTGAAGCAGTGACCGCCCCCCTGTACTGAGCAGTGGTGAGGCACCTCCAATCAGTCTTGAACCCCTCACAAGAAAAGACTGAGGTGCTGTACTGTGTCCAGAGAAGGATAACAGAGGTGGAGAAGGGTCTGGAGCATGAGTCTGATGAGGAGAAGCTGGGGGGCTCAGCCTGGAGAAAAGGAGGCTCAGAGGGGACCTTCTCAATCTCTACAACTCCCTGAAAGGAGGGTAAGGCCTGTTTAGTGTTGGTCTTTTTTCCCAGGTAACAAGGGACAGGACAACAGGAAATGGTCTCAGTTTGTGCCAGGGGAGGTTTAGCCTGGATATTGGGAAAATTCCTTCCCTGAAAGGGTTGTCCAGCCATGGCATAGACTACCCATAGCAGTGGTAGAGTTCCCATGGTTGGAGGGATTTACAAAAACTATGCAGATGTGACATATGGAGACATGGTTTAGTGATGGCCTTGACAGTGCTGGGGGCACAGCTGGACTCAATGGTCTCACAGAAGGCTTTTCCAACCTGAATGACTCCATGATTCTAAAAGGAGCTCGAGCCCAAGCTTACCCCCACCATCCATCCCCACATCATGTCCCTCCTTTCCTCATTTCCCCTGGCAGACAGGAGGCAGGGCACGTACTTGGTGCTGGGGAAGGTGGCGATCTTCTGCAGCTCCAGGAAACGCACCTCTCGCTTGTGCGGGAGAGAGAACGGTGGGGAATGCTCCTCAAAGCTGCTGCTGGACACACCGGATGAGGATGGCTCTGCTGGAAATAAAAAGGGAGAAGAAGGCTGTGATCTTTAATATCTAAGAGGCTGAGCAGCTGAAATCTGAAGGGCACAGGAACCACAAATTCCAGTGGGGATGGAACAGCCCAACTGAGGAAACCATAAAGCTGCCCTACATCCTCATCCCTCCTGCTCCACAGTACTTCCCCTGCAACTCTGCTCCACTGTCAGCTGTCAGCATCCCACCCGCTCCACTCCTCCAGGGAAAGGCTGAGGTACTGCTGAGTACCAGCAGGTCTAAGGCAACCCTGCCCTTGGAGTTTACAGGGCACTGTTTTGTAGCTGAAGGCATCTGGGTAGTGCAGCTCTCTTTATGGCTGCAGCACAAACAGGAGGAAAAGTCAGGGCCCAGCACTTACCTTTCCTCTGCAGAAATGGCTCCAGATTCTCATTCAGGCACTCCTCGTTATCCAGCACAAATTTGAGGATTGATGCCAGTTCAACCTGTGTTGGAGGAGCTGCAGAGTTAGTGGCTCTGTTGCAGGTCACAGGCAGCAGCACAGAAGGCATGGGGTAATGGGGAGCTCCCTGCCTGCCTGTGCTGCTGCCCACACTTGCCACTACAAGCTTTTGATAGCCCAAAACCACCAGTGAGCACCACAGTGCTCACTCCACACTGTCTTTCAATGGGACCAAGGAAAGCAAGTCTCGGAGCACCTCCCCCAAAGGCACCACTGCTTCTCCCTACACCCCAGATCCAGAGGAGAAACCCCAAAGGGATTACCTGGGTCTTGTAGTCAAATTCATACCAGTCCCCAGGGTTCTTGGAACTCACGGAGGTGTGATACAGGAGCAGCACGGCCACCTGAGCAAGGCAGGAAAGGCATCACTAAGCCCTGGCCAGTCACAAGCACATTGGTGGGACTAAAACATGCCATGCAGTTACCTTGGCCAGCGCCAGCTCATCTCCATCCAGGAGTTTCTGTGCAGAGACCAGGTTCTCTGCAGCCAATTTGTGCCTGCAGTGCTCTGCAACATGAAGCAGAATTTCCAGTCGTACAGGGAATGTATGCTGCCTCCCCTGAGGTGACACTCATAGCCAGGAGGGCACTGTAATGCATCCCCAAGGAGAAGGGACATGGGGCAGGATGGGCTCCAGAGCTCAGATCCCAGTGGTCAGCCTTGGCCATTAACTCTGACCAACTTTCATTCCCCTCTCTGAAGCCCCCACTAAACCCCAGCCTCCCCACCTTGGCATCTCCCCTCAACATCAGCACAAACAGAGAGTTCCATCTCTGGAGGATGGGATATGGTATCTTCCCTCCAGGAAAGGCTGAGCAAGAGTGTGAGATACTTCCCATTTCTCGTCCCAGGATTTCTGCTTGGGTAAAGGTTTTCCACTGGGATTTGAAGAGCTTGAGTACCTGGACTCAAGGAACTAGGAAAGCTGCTCCAAGGCAGCATCACCAGAGCAGCCACTGGCACCCTGCCCTTCACACCCAGGACCTCCTTTGCTCTGAATCCAGGCTCTGGCAAGGATTTCCATCTGGGAGTTTCCCATCAGGAAGGTTTCCCTTCCACAGGCTGCTGCAGGAAAGCTGCTGGCACCTCAGCAAAGCTGCTGACGTGAGGTGGGGGGGTCAGTTTGTGGAGGGGGAAGCTACAGACAGCAGACCAGATTCCCTCAGAGGTCAGGGGCACCAAGCAGGGGCAGTTGCTTTCCCCAGCACCAACGGAGGGTCTTACTCTGCAGGAAACCATGGATGAAGGAGATCCTCTCCGGCAGCGGCTGCTCCAGCACAGACTCCCCCTCCTTGCTCCCGTGGCTGGAAGAGTGCAGGGTTTGCATTAACTCCTTCTGGAGGCATTAGACCAATGCTGAGTTTTGTGCAGCAGGGCTCACTGAGGGGGTGAGCCAGGGGGTGGCTCTGGGGCACTGCTCTGCCTTCTGCTCCCACACCAGAGCCAGCAGAGCCAGGGCCAACCACACCACGCATGGGAGCGGAATCCCCTGGAATCTCCCTGCTGGGAGAGCAGCTGGAGCTGGGCAGCTGACACTCCCCCCGCACTGCTTCCTATTCTGCCTGCCAGCCCTGGCATCCGGCACAGCACAGGGAGCTTGTGGTGGCCCCACTGGCCAGGAAACACCTCAGGGGCCAGTCCATGCATGGAACCTCAGGCTTTTCTTGCTGCATTTTAGGAAGGCTGAACTCATTTGTGACTACACTCTTCCTGAGCAGCCACCAGTACATGGAATATCATGAGTTGGAAGGGACCCACAAGGGTCGTTGAACCCATTTCTGCAGCTCAGAAACAGCATGCCCAAAACCCACACCAATCATGCTTGACCAGCATTGCTTCAGTACTGTCTCTTATTAGCAAGGTGCCAAAAACAGAAACCTGGCCAGAGACAGGGGCTGCCACGAGGATTTGCTCCTTCTCACGGACTTCTCCTGGTGCCACCAGGAGCTCCACAGATCAGCCAGCTGCTGGGGCAGCTGCCCTGCTGCCACCCCACTTGATCAAGCAATGGCCAGGCCTCTTTAGAGAGCACACGCCACCGGGATCCCTACTAATCCGAGCTAGAGCACAGACCCAGGAGATTAACCAGGTCTGACTAAATATATCTGTGGTGCAGGCAGCTCCTTCCTCCCCACCCACTGCAGGCAGATCCCTGCTCCAGGCAGGCTCTCCTCACCCCACACAGGAGGTAATCATAGCAGACAGGCTCCCAGCGAGCCTCCCACCGGAAAGGTTTGAAAGCAATGCATGACAGCTTCACACCCTCTCAATTTATTTAGCCAGCTCCTTAACCACCAGGCTTTGCCCCACCTCTTGATGCCCATTATGGCCTGTAGATTTTAGTTGCCCCTTGCTCCCAGGCAACAAACACAATTCCTGAAGGAGGCATTCCTCTCACCGCAGGTCCCAGGATGGAGTAAACAGGAACCATCCTGACCACACTATACTCAGCAGCCACCTGACATCCCCAGGCAACAGAAGCACTTCATGAGGCAGAAACTGTCATTCTTTACACTGCTTTCCAGATAAAAGGCTTCCTCAGGATCCCAAGGCTGCCACTCAGAACTTGCTGGGCTGTTCCCTCACCAGAGCAGCATCAAAGGAAATGAAAAATCTGTGCAGCTGTGGCACTGGCAGCAGCACTCAGGTCTTCAATGCCAGAGGCAAACCCAGATGTAAAGTGCCAGATGTGATAACAAGTCTCAAATGACAGGACATTCTGTCTGACATTCTCAAGTGACCAAAACATTCCCTGGGCAGCTCTGTGGGACCCAACAGCTCTGCAGGCAGACCCCAGCTGTGCAGTGGCACAGAGGAGGTGGAGATCCCAGCATCTCATATGCCAGAGGAGGAATAAATACCCCAAGACTCCCACTCCCACCCTGCCCAAGAAGAGAGCCCCTTAGCTCCTGGGGGCCAAGGCCATGGCTCCAGGAGGCAGCTCAGACCCAGCTGTGTGGTTTGAAATGTACACACAGCTCCCCATACTCACATTTTGTGGATAATTCTGATGAAGACACTACAGTCCTGGAGCTGGGACAGATTATTGAGGGGATCAGGACAAACCTTTGTGCTGTTCACCTATAAATGGGGTGGGACAGTCAGAAGGCAGGCAGAAACCAAGACAACACTGTGCTGTGCTGCCCACCACCTCCAGTCCTGGCAAGGGACAACAAGACTAGTCTGGGTGTGAAAGTAAATCTACCCCTTCAAACTACCCCTTCCCAAGGAACGTGATCCCCACAGTTCCACATCTGGAAGTCTGGCACAGGTCCCATTTATCAAGCTGCTGGAGCTCCTCTTTTCTGGAGAGGCTGAGAGACCTGGGGGTGTTCAGTCTGGAGAAAAGAAGGCTCTAGGGAGACCTTAGAGCCCTGCCAGTGCCTAAAGGGGCTCCAAAAGAGCTGGAGAGGGACTTTGGACAAAGGCCTGGAGTGACAGGACAAGAAGGAATGCCTTCCCACTGACAGGGAGCAGGGTTAGATAGTATATTGGGAAGAACTTCTTCCCTGTGAGGGTTGCCCAGAGAAGTGTGGCTGCCCCATACCTAGAAATGTTGAAGGCTAGGCTGAATGTGGTTTGGAGCAACCTGGTCTAGTGGGAGGTCTCCCTGCCCATGGCAGGGCGTTTCAGTTGAATGAGCTTAAAAGCCCCTTCTAACCCAAACCATTCTATGAGTTTTCGCTTGGACACAGCAGTGCTTTGTGAGACAGATCCAACAATCCCTTTACAGTACAGCTGCTGCCTGCTTCAGGCTCAGCTCCATCTCCCAGGCAGTTTCCATGACCAGACCAAGCCATTCCAGCTTTTCTGGTTACTCAACAGGAAATGTGAGCAAGGCTTCTCCTGCAAACACCCACCTGCCCAGTAGGAACTGGGCTATCCTAGGACCTGCCCCAGCCACAATCCCTCCTGTCACAAGCTCCAGCATCGTGCCCCAAAGCTGCCAGTGCTGGCAGCAGCGTGTCCCACCTATGCAGTGAGCTCCAGCAGAGGAGGGGGGACTTACCCAAGCAAGGAGAGCAGCAACTCTTGCGCTGTGAAGAGACATCGTGGCCAGCCTGTCAGGTCCCTGCCCAGACCTAGAAACACCAACAAAGGTGGGGGGCCAATAAAAAAGGTAAAGTATAGTAATTATGTTACTAAATGATTTGCACCCAGCATCAGGGATTTGTGCCCACCAAGGGAGGATGTGTCCCAGCATCTGGCCAGCTGTGTGGGAGCAGCCGGCATCCTCCTGCTTCCCCACAGGCACAGAGTGGGGAGCAACGCTGAGCAGCAGCCAGGTCCACTCCCACAGATTAGGATCCTGACAAGGTGTCAATGGTAAACTGCTGCTCGGGGTCCACATTCTCCTTTTTGCCTTCTTCCCTCCCTCTCACCTCCAAATGTCATTAACATTTCTTGCCTGGCAAGGCAGTGGCCAAGCCATTGAAGTGCTGCCAGCTCCCCTTCTCACTGCTGCTAGTGAAAGAACCACCTGCTGGAGGCACAGGGAGCTCGCCGGACATCGCTGCATTGGGTGGGAGCAGGGATGAGCTGCCCTGACGCGATCTGGGATCACTGCCACGTCCCCTTCACAGCGACCTTTGCCTCCATGCTGGCTGCCCCCAGTGCCACCCTGGTAGTCTTCCAGGGGAGAGGACTGCTGGGAGCCAAAAAGTCACCTAGATGAGGTGAGGCTCCTCACCCTGTATTGCACCTGGACACCTGCACCACGATGGGACAGGAGCCTGGTCGGGATCTGCAGCTGCTCTGCACAGCATAGCCAATCAGTCATGGTGGCTTTGGGGACTACAGAGCTCCCACTGCTGTCAGCCCAGCTGGAAAGCATGGGATCCTCAGCACGACAGGTCCTCCCTCCAATTGGGCTAAAACCCAGCTCCTTGTCCCATCGTTGGGTAACTCCACAACTACTGTCCTTCCACTCGGTGGCACAGCCAAGACCTTTCCTTAAAAATAATCCACCCAAAGGTACCGGGCAAAAGCATTCGTACAGCACTGAATGCAGATCCTCGGAGAAAATCATGTTCCACCAGCGTCGAGCGGGGTTTTACCAGAAGCAGCAACACACTGGTGCCTTGGTGTGAGATCTGGACGGGCAGGGCCACCCGCTCCTGCCGCGGTCACAGCCTGGCTTGTCACTGGTGACACTGGCCACCCTGAGCATCTGAGACAACGCCATGACCCGCCGTGAGGACGTGCCATTCGTGATGGCAGGCGGGAAGTGGCTGGGGAGCCCGCCAGCGGCCGTGAGCGCCTTCCAGCCGCATCCCCGAAGAGAGCAGCTGCAGGGGGGCGGTGGGGATCGGGAAAGGAGCCCGGAGGTGGCGGCAGCCGCGGCGGCATTGTCCTTCCTCGCTTTCCCCTGCGCCGCTCCGGTCACAACACGGCGTTACGCAAGCCCGCGCTCCGGAGCTCCCGACGTGCCAGCGCGCCGGGGGGACGCGCCCGCGGGCCCCGGGCTGTCCCAGGCCAGGGCTCCGTGTGCGGGAAGCACCCAGGCGGGGTGAGCGACCCACGGCAGGGCCCGCGCACGGCCGGGCCCGCAGCTGGCGCGGGGCGGAGGGGGAGAGCAGCCGCCGACCCGAGCGCCCGGATGTTGGCGAGCCCGGCGCGGCCACCCGCGGCCCCGGGGACCCGCACCTCGGGGGCTGGCGAGGCACTGGGCCGGGAGCCGTACGCGGCGGCGGGAGCTGGGCGAGCTGAGCTTCGCCGCCCCCGCCTCCCTCCCCCTCCTCCGCGCCAGCCCCGTGGAAAACAAAACAAGGAAGAGGCAGAAAGTCTTTGTTGGGGCCTTACCGGGGCCGCGCGGCCGTCGTCGGCGCGCTGGGGTTAATCCGCCATGAGCGCTGGCAAGCCGGGGAGGGCCGGGGAACCAGCGGCCACGCACAAAAGAAAAGTTGTTGAGCTTCTCTTCGGCGGGGCTGGCAGGCGGCGGTTCCCCTTCCTGGCCCTGGGCCATCCCACGTCACCGCGCCGGGGCCGTGCTCGTTAAAGGCGCACGGCACAGAAACCTCCGGCGCCCCGCCATGGGGAATCGTCCGGCCCTGGGCGCGCTCGCGGCCGTCACCCTGCCCAGGCCCCGAGTGACGGAGAGCTGGTGGGGCCGGCACAGACCCGCTCTCGGCCCCAGCGCAGCTCAGGAAAAGCCGGGGGCTAGGCAGAGAATGGCCCCCAATGCTACGTCTCCCTCTAATCTGACTGGAGTCATATCCCAGCTGACCCCTGAAAAACTCTCCCCGATACGCACACACCCCGCGCTCACGGATTCAACGGGAACCGGACCCTACGGGCCGCCAGCTAAACTAGGGAGGAGTCGGGCGAGGAAGGGACGCTCACCCCTCGCTGCTGTTCCGGAGACCCTCGGAAGTCATCTCCGCAGCGTCTGGGCTGCCTGAGGAGGTTCAGGGCCGCAGGATGGGGCTGCCCCGAGCACGGCACAGGAAGGGCACAAGGAAAAGGTTCTTTCAAATCGGCGCTGGGGGCAGCAGAGGAACCCGCGAGGAGCGCGGCCGCCGAGTGCCGCTGGCGGAGGCTCCGACTTTACCAAGCCCCGGGAAACGAAGAACCACACGCCCGAGCCACAAGGCTCCGGCCGGGACCCCCTCGTCCTTAGGGAAGGACGCCTCTGAGCTTGGCCCGAGAAGGAGGCTGTGCCACAGGCTTGCCCCGCCGGCCCGAGAGTTTCGAACCTTGCCAGCCTGCGGCACAGCCTCGCTCAGCGGCCCTGAGCCCCGCCGAAGGAACCACCAGGCCCGCCCCGCGGGTGACCTCAGCTTTCCCCGTACCGTGACCGTGGCCGGGGATCGTGATCGTCTTCGGCGTCGCCGGGGCTCCAGTCGTACTGATGGTCCTGTACCAGACCGAAGCCGCCAGGATCCGGGCCGCGGCCGCTCTTATTCGAACGGCAGCGCCCGCCCCCGCTGCTGCCCATTGGGCCCCGCCGGGCCGGGGGCGTCACACAGGCGGGCGGACCGCGAACCGCGGGGTCCGAGACACACGCGGGACTGTGGGGGAGAGGGCTCTGCCAGTCACCGGGACACACCTGGGACTGTAGGGGAGAGCGCTTTGCCGGTCACCGGGACACACACAGGGGTCCGGGACACACGCGGGACTGTAGTGGGGGACACTCTGCGGGGCACCGGGACACACACGGGACGATGGGCTACTAGGGGACACATGCAACAATCTAACGATCTAGCTACTAGGGGAAGCCCTAGTGTTGAGGGGGTTACAGGGCTGCTGTGACCAAGGAGAACACAGGCAGGGCCCTCCCGATAAGGTATAGTGACACATGGGACCACGGGGGTGTGTGGGTCTCAGGTCCCCACTCTGAGCTGAGGACACAAGACAGGAGGTTGTGTGGGGCCACATGCAGGGCACGGAGTACTAGAAGCCCACAGTGAATCAGGGGACAGGTGGGGGACTCCGGCGGTGTGTCACATGCAGACACTCTGTCCTGCAGTGCTAACTAGGCAGGGGTCCTCACCAGCCCCCAAAATTGTCCTGACCTACTAGTGGGGCCTCATCTCACTTCGGGGGTCCTGGGCTTGTCCCCATGGTCACAGCCCTATTTCATCCTGTGGAGGCCCAGAGAAGTTTAGTCATGGACTGGATTGTGGTGGTGCATGTCCTGGCCACCACCCAGACCTGGGAAATGCTTGTCAGGCCTTGGCCTTCACAAACAGCACCTGGGTTAAGCCCCTCTTGAGCTTATTGGATGTAATCTGTTCCAAGGAACTAACAGATGCTCATAGAGCATCTGTTTTTTAATGAACTGACTTGGAAATTTATTTTTCTTACCTGAGTGACAACCCAAGTGGAATAGTATTTTTGTTGTTGAACCTGCAACTAACTCAAATTGTGGCCAGGATGAAAAATTACTATGAGTAAAGCCCACTCTCTTGTGACCTTCTAGACAGCAATCCAAAGTGAGACCCTTTGAGCTCTCAGTTATAAGGGGCTAATGCGTACTTAAGCCCACTCTCTAATGACCCTATAAACCACAGTCCAAAGTCTCACTGAGCATTCTATTCCCAGAACATAAGAGAGCTAATGTCTCAATTATCTATGTCTCAAACATAGATAATTGGATGGCTGAGGAGTCAAGCAAGGACTGTTGGTAATAAACAAGGACTGTTGATATTAACACACCATGAGAAAGAACAAGATGTGGCTGAAGAAGAGGGGCAAGGTGAGATAGGGCAGCACTGGAAAAACATCCTTGTTGTAGTTCCTGCTGATAAGCACAACACAGTACAGCATAAACACAGGAATGAGTGGCAGAAAGCAGTCGTGGACTACAGGGTGGGATTAAGACCACCAAAGACTCCTAAACCCCTCTGATGCATTTCCAGGAAGAAACATCTGAAAGAACAGACTGTGCATGATAACTAATTTGCATAGAAAATGAGAAATCCATCTTCAGGATGGAGAAACCTATCCCTGAAAAGGTACCCCGCAATTCCCATGCCACGTGTGCAATTTACTAATAAAATTTTCTGATTATTTGCAAACCTTCTAACTTTTGACATTCCTTTTGACCATGAGCATTCGTGAAACTTAGGTGTTTCCTTCCCCTTAAAGGTGGGTTATTATACATTCCCTGTCCCCTTGTCCTCTTGGCCTTTGTGGGACATGATCAAAAGGGTGACAAGGGATAGACAGATCTGTGTATCCCCCCCCAACCAGGGCATGGCTGTGCCCGACAGAGAACAGTGGAGACAAGCAGTGGATGAACATGGCTTTATCTACTGTGGCAAAAAATAATAGTAATTAAAAAAAAACAAAACAAAACAAAACAAAA